AAAATAGTTAAAAATACAAGATAAGGAGAACACTTGAACACACAGAAGGGAGACTATGCCTAGTGTAGGTTTTGCAGTAACGGCCTGAAAACTAGTCCATCGGATCATCTGTTCCCCTTTGGGAACGTGAGAGACAGTGACAAAACTGCGATCAATTCTGCATGGTCACAATAGAGATCCCTGTGACTCGCTTGTCTTTGGGTCACCCTGCATTCCATAGCGTTGTGCTTGTACTTGTGCTCACGCAGTCAACTAGGGGACAGGCTGGGAGGCCACAGCATCCTGACTCTTTCCTCCCCAGGCTAGGCCCCATGGCCCTATAGGAGGGGTCTATGTGGTCAGCCACGGCCATCTCAGGGGACACAGGGCCCTGGCCTTTCCCTTGGTCAGCGTGTGGCCAGAACGGGAGCCCCTGCTGTTCCCAGCACTCACTTGCACGCTTGCTCGGACGTTGGCGGGATATATGGGGTCTCACCAGCAGGAGCACGTGCAAGCCGGGAGGGTCGGTCCATTCTAGAACCAAGCCCCTCTGGAGCACCCCCATCTCCATGTGTGAAGTAGCTTTCTCTCCCTCAGCCTGCAAGGGTCCGATTTGCCATCGAAAAAGACGACCTCTACTTTTTTCTTTTGTATTTTGATAAAACACTGAAGAAGCTGGAGCTGTTAAATTTATCTTGGGGAAAACCTCAGAACTGGTTTATTTGGTGTCGTGGAACCTCTTACTGCTTTCAATACACGATTAGTAATCAACTGTTTTGTATACTTGTTTTCAGTTTTCATTTCGACAAACAAGCACTGTAATTATAGCTATTAGAATAAAATCTCTTAACTATTTCACGGGCTCTCCAGTACTTGAGTGCCACTACCAACAGACTGCCTCTTGGAAGATGGACAGGATGGGAGAGAACCACTCTTATACTAAAAGTACAGGTGATTACCCAAGCACTGCCGTCTCTGCCTGTGTTCACCTACTGTCAGCTTCTTTCCAACCTGTCAGGCTCCAGGTTGTGAGAATTCTACTCCTGAGTATTTGGACACTTCTAATACCCTAGGTCAGTCCTCTGTGTGAGAAAAACTTCTGGAAATATTTCTCTTCCACTCAGTCATTTCTCATTGGGTATATGAATAAGAACTTCCTAGAAACATTTCAGCCTGTCACCATTGGTCAGGACTGTGTGTGTATGTGTGTCTACAATATGATTACCTTCTGGCCGGTCTCTGCCACCTAGCACCTCCTGGCCCGTACTGGCTGTGGGAGGAGAGCATTTGCCAAGTAGGAGGGAGAGGTAAGAGCAGGGGCCAGCAAGTGCCATGGGGACCTTGGCTCCCACACTGAGGCCCCTCTCATGTCCATCCCTCAAGAGTTTCCTTTTGTGTAGACATCTGGTGGGCAGGGTCACTGCCAATCCACCTGGCACGTGCCAAGTGAGGAAAGTAAGGGTGGCTGTCCTGGGGAAATGTGCCTACCAGCAGAGCCAAGATTTGTCCTCCCTATGAGCAGTGTCCACAGGAAGGGACTGTCCTAGGTGGGGCCCTATAAGTTGTACTTGGTCCAAACCTGCCCTGGCTCAACCTTCGTCTGCTGAAACAGTACAGGGAAAACATAATTTTTATGTGCAGAGTGAACTAAAGACCCAAGGACTGGAATTTTGTCTTCAAGCCCCTGTATCTAGCCAAATATCTTTCTGGGCCTCCAGCTTTCCCTCATTATTAGAAATCCCCACATTGGGGCCGGCAAGTGGCGCGGTGGATAAGAGCCCTGGATTCCCACATGGCCAACCACAGTTCGAGTCTCAGACCTGGTGGCTTGCTTTCTCACTCACCACTCTCTCTCTCTCTATATCTTTCTGGGCCTCCAGCTTTCCCTCATTATTAGAAATCCCCACATTGGGGCCGGCAAGTGGCGCGGTGGGTAAGAGCCCTGGATTCCCACATGGCCAACCACAGTTCGAGTCTCAGACCTGGTGGCTTGCTTTCTCACTCACCACTCTCTCTCTCTCTCTCTCTCTCTCTCTCTCTCTGTGTGTGTCTTTCTGATCAAATTAAAAAATAAATAAATAAAATGAATGAATAAATAAAATTAAATTAATAATTAAAAAAAAAAGAAATCCCCACATTGAAGCCAAGGCCTCTGGGAAGCACAGGAAGTACAGAGTCTCAGTAATTCCTAACACAAACATTCTTTCCATTTAGTCTGATAATTTGCTTTTCTTTTAAAATAAATTTATTTTAAGTCCAAAAAGTAACTCCATACAAAGAAAAATAGAAGTAACCCTACTTGGCTTTGGGATCTGAAATTGTTGCAGCCCAAAACAAGACAGGGAGGAGGGAGCCTGGTCTCTGGCAGAACCTTCCAGGTAGACTCTTCTTCACCAAGCTGTGGCCAGAGGCCATCACCTTAAAGCTAGGGGCCATCAGGATAAGGCTTAGGGCACAGCCCTCAGCACACTGGCCTCTGTAGACACCCAGGCCTCACAGCTCAGCCCCTCCTCTCTACAGCCAGCCAGCCCTTAATGTCTAGGAGACCCACACTCAGGGTCATGTAAAGGGGGCAGTTGCTGGTTTCACCCCAAACAAGTGAGACTTCACTGAGGGTGAGACCTTATAGGTGAGTCTCACTGCCTCAGTGAGGAGTCTAATGCTGAGACCCCGCAGTGGGCCAGTGAGCTGACCCAGGCTCTTTTCTCCATTGTCCAGCTTTACAAATTTCAAGCATCAGAGTCTGTCATGCCGTTTGTGAGACAGTTTCCTTCTACTATCCCCACTGTGGCTTCACTTCCTCCTCTTGCAGCTGGGGGAGGAGTCAGAATCATGTCTGCTGTGGCCAGGCCTAGGGAGACCAGGGAGGGGCAGATGTTTAGGGAGGTGGTGCTGCTGGGTGGTCAACCCAACCAGGCTCTGAGAGCCTCAGTTGCTGTCCTGCAACCCCTATCCAGCCACCCTGACCAGGGGAGCTGCAGGATCCTCCCACCTGGTCCCCAAGGCAGAGCGGGACCTGGGCCTACCGAGCAGAAGCTGGGGGTGAAGAGGAGGCACTGGCCTCTCTCCTGTGTTCTTTGTCTTTCTTTTTCTTCTCTTTCTTGTGTTTCTTCTTCTTTTTCTTTTTCTTCTCTTTCTTGCTTTTCTTGTGGCTCTCAGAGCTATAAGAACACAGAAAGGGCCTCAGCCTCTACCTCTTATGGGGCAGATGGAGTACTCAGTGACCAAGGCTGGAGGGGAAGTAATTGGGAGGGGGGTTACAAACTCCTACTTTGTCCTCTGTGGTAACTAGCACCTACATGTGGTTCTTTCAATTTAAGTCAGATCAGATTAAACAAAAATTCAGCTCCTCGGTCAGATGGGCTACACCTCACGGACTAAACAGCCACATGGCATTGGTTGCCACGATGAGAGGCACATATGGAATATCCCCATCATGACAGTAAGCTGTAACAGACAACCACAAGCTACCAGTCTCAAAGCTCTGTCCAGCCAACCATTGCTCTGGAAACCCACCTGGCCACCTTCCTAGCCCTCAACCAAGTGACACTCTCCTGCCTGTACCCCTCACTGGGCTTGGTACCCTGGAATGGTAACTGACTTCTGGGTCCTCAGGCTTCCAGAAATAGCCTGTGGCTCAAGGTCAAGGTTCATACCCCAATCCCCAGTGAATCTCCAGAGGACACAACAGGGGAACAGTCCTCCCTAGTAGGGCTACAGCTGTTCCTGGCTGATGGCAGGAAAAGGCCCCCTGGGGCCATGGCTTCCCCAGCCACTAAGACCCCCATCCCACTCCTGCCCCTTGAGGTTGATCTGACACTTCCATGCACGCCCTTCCTGTAGGACAGTCTCCCTAGCCTTGCTGGCTGCACTTAGAATCTCTCTGTTCCTACAGTGACCCCAGAAGCTTATTCACAGGACAAATCAGAAATAAGTGGGATGGAAAGAAAACAGGGCAGATAATTTGTACACAAAGACAAGCTGACTTCTGCCTAAGTAGCCCAGCCCCAAGTCAAGCTTCTATCTGGAGAACGCACAAAGACATACAAGATGCACCCTTACCATGACTCTGCCTTGTCCTCTGTACGTGGCTTCCTCTTGGCAGAGACTGGGGAGGTCCTCAGACCGCTGCTCTCCACGCGGTGGTGCTACAAGAGAAGCCATCCTCTGGAGGGGAGGAGAATAGGAGGGCCCCACAGCCCAAGCCGTTCCAGGCAGTCCCAGCCCCTTCCCAGCCTCATGAGGGACTCCGTGCGTTTAAAACGGGATGTTACCGTGAAAACTGACAACCCCAGCTTGGCAGCTTCCTTATCTTCCCGGGAAAGCACCACGCGGCCTGCGGAGCCACTGTGAGAGAATACGCTAGTAAGAACGATCCCTGTCGGGGAGGGGGTGGGGCAGGAAGAGGGCACGCGCCATGGACTACCACCTAGCCCAGGTGTCCCTGCCCACACCTGGTGCTCCCCAGCCCCAGCAGCCGGTCCACGCCCTTTTCCTCGTGGTCGCCTCCTTCTCGCTTGCAGATCTCCACGAAGTCCTGCAAAGGAAGAACAGGGAGGCAATCCACCCTGTCCCAGGGCGACCTAGCCCCCAGCCTTCCCTCTCGGGACCCCAAGCACCACACACCCCGAAGGATTACCTCCTTGCTCAGGCCTGTCGGCTGTTTCTTCACGTCCCTGTAGCCGCTGAGAAAGGGCCAGAAGGAGGAGTCAGGGCACGACAGACCTTCATCCTACACTAACGCCTTCAGTCCCCGTTACCCCACCCCCTAGGGCTACCATCTATCAAAACAGCTCCAACTTTGTGTAGCTTCCCTTCCTACAACCCTAGGTCCACGCAATCCCTGCTTTCTTGGCTCCCGATCCCACCCTGGGCAGCCTTGCTCCCAGATACGGGCAGCCCCAGATACCCTTGTCCAAGTCCACATAGCCCCTGTTCCCTCGAGCAGCCCCCAAGGCGACACTCACAGCGCAGCCAGCAGCGCCTCATGCTCCGCCTGCCGCACAGCCGCCAGCTCCTCTTCGCGACTCGGTCCTTTTCGCTGCGTCCGGTCCTTTGCATACCAGGTGAGGTCGCGGCCCTTTTGCCAGCGGCCCACGGGCGCCATCAGCGAGTTGCCTGCGGATGGAGGCGCTGTGAGCCCCGCGCCCGCCCGCAGACTGCCAGGATCACCGCCC